TTAATTCTTTATATAAAAATAAACACATTCATCCCATTAGAGTGTAAGTTTGGTTTCAACTTTAGTAAATGGTAAAATTATATGTGTACCAAAGAGCTGTTTTAAAATAAATTTATTATCTATTATCAATACATGTTTGGTTTGTATATCTGTTTTATGCAACTGTGTACAAGGCTAAAAGTGTCTTGAGTGAAAAAATACTATAGATAGAAACACTTAAGAAGCCCGATGTAGTGTCTACTGCGACCCCCCTTCAGCACCTCCCTAGAATTGGATCCAGGTAGGGACGGAAGTTTCAGGGCTCTGAAAGAACGTGCAGCAACTTGAAAGAAGGTACTGCAGTCTACTGCGCCCCCCCTTCAGCACCTCCCTAGAATTGGATCCAGGTAGGGACAGAAGTTTCAGGGCTCTGAAAGAACGTGCAGCAACTTGAAAGAAGGTACTGCATAAGACATCTTGCCCAGGGACCACTAGTGGATGCTCAGAGGCTACCATGAGGGCGTCCTCTTGGGGATATCGCCAAAGTCCTGGCCAGTGCTCCTCTGACTTCAAAATGCAGCCTGGGATAGCTGAGTCAGTGTGGAGGAGGGATGAGGAATTTAGCAGGTAAAAATTAACAATGACCTTTCCTTTCTTTTTGAAAAATGTTTCATTAATTCTTTGAGAATTCCATACAATGTATTTTGATCATGTTCACCCTCCACTCCTCTGCCTGACTCCTCCCAGATCCACTCCCTTGGCCCTACTCCTCCAACTTCATGTTCTCTTGCTTTTATTATTAAAAACAACCCATTGAGTCCAATCTGTGCTGCCCATATACTCCTGGGTGGGAGTCAACCTTCCGGGGGCCACACCCTTAGAGAAAAGGACTCTCCCTCCCAGCAGCTATCAATTGCCAATAGCTACTCGGTGATGGGGGGACTTTGTGACCACTTCCCCTCCGTGCTGGGATTTTGAACAATGACCTTTTCTTTTCCTTGCTTTTTGAGACAGGATTTTACTTTGCAGCCTAGACTGGCTTGAACTCACTATGTAGCCCAGCCGTACCTCAAATTCTCAGTAATCCTGTCTCAGCCTCCTGAGTGCTAGGATTTTAGGTGCTCAGCTCTTAAAAATGTCTTTTTATCATTAATAATAAATATAATTTATAGTATTTTTAGAAGAATTATCTGTTATTTTATGTGTGAGGGTTTTGCCTGTGTAGCACATACATGCCTGCTGCCCCCAGAAGAAGGCATTAGAGCCTCTGGAACTGGAGTTATGGGCAGTCAGCTACCATGTGGATGCTAGGAACCAAACCCAGGTCCTCTGGAAGAGCAGCAAGCACGCTTAACTGTTAAGTCATCTCTCCAGTCCTGACTTTTTAAAATTTAAGTATACCCTTGTAATGGCTGGGACATAACGATAGTTTAAAAAAGTGTTATTGCAAGTATTACCTGAAATTCGAATGAAGCCAGTGTCCCATGTTTCATCTGGGGACCCCTGTGTGGATTTTGAGACTCAGCCTGCAGATCTTGGGTCAGTGGGTTTGGGAGATCAGGGCAGAGCAATGAGCCAGGCCTGAGCACTTCTCCCACTTTTCTCCAGCTGATGTCTGTGTTACTGTCTCTAGGGCTGGAGGCTGGCTCACACCTGGGGGGTCTAAAGAGTGGCTTGCTGACTACTTTGAGTCTGGGAAGGCTGCATCTGGGTAGGATCTTCCCTGAACCCCTGGTTTGTTCAGGGACCCCGTGAGTGCTAGTGAGGAAGAGACACTTGGGATGGGCCTGGGATCCATGTGACAGGGCTTTCTGGAAGATGCAAAGCAAGTTCAAAGGAAGGGATGGGGTATGTACCATCAGACATTCAAGTACTGAGAGGAAGAAGTGACCTCACCATGCAGAAACCTCTTCGGGGCTAGCACGGAGGAGTAAAGAGCCTCTGAGCACCCTACCTCCAACGAATTAGCTCTAAGTGGCCTCCAGACCCAGAAAACAGTGATCTGACGCATGGGCTAGCTCACCTTGACCATCATCCTCACATAGCTTTGATTCTTAGAAAAGGAGCAGAGCTAATATTCACAAGGGCCTGGCCCTTCAAACTCGGACCAAGGAGGGAGCTGAACAACTCAGTTGGAGTCAAAGTTCTAATTGTGAACAGGGGAGTTTGGACTCAGTGACTGTAGAACTATTACCCAGGGCTGGTGGAGATGCCATGAGGCACCTCAAGCCTTTCCATATGAGCAGTGAGCCACCCCACTGCATGGTGTATAAGACAGCAGGGGGTTCAGACTAGGTTTGCTCACAGTCCATGAGCTTTCTTGTACGAACACTGCAGTACCACACCCACCCCTTTCCTAGCACATTTGATACAGTCTTGTTCTCAGCCAGTAGGAGAATCTTGCCAGAACCTTGCATTTTCTTCCATATCACTGTGGGAAAATCTTCAGAGCTAAACAAACTGCCTGGTACAGGGTGGCAAATGCCGAGTAGGACTGCCCACTTTCCATTCTCTCCAGGCTCTCAAGAAGTCTGTGGCCAGTTGTTTCTAACTGCTTCCTGCTGCGCTACGGAATATGCCCCCAAATTCTCTCCAACAATCTGGGTGACCATTACTGTGACAATACAAAACCCGTGGTCACAGCCAGGTCATCTTGTTAAGAGTTAACTAAGGGCAGTTAGGACAAAGGCTAGAAGGAGGGAAGGAAAAACATTCCCATTTAACTGCTGGAATGCATCAAAACAAGGTCATACTCCAAAAAACAAACAAACAAAAGACCAGGTCATCAGTCAGACAAGGATATCTGTTATCTGTCATCCATTATCTCTATCCATGCTGGGGCCAAATGGGTCAAAAGATAAAGTGTGGGAGGAGGGAAAAAAGGAGAGAGAGACCTGAGGACCCTATAAAAGAACAATCCAAGAAGTCACTTGGTGGTCTACCAGCTTTGGAGACCCCACCTGACCTGACAGGGTGTCTTTACAGTCTGTCTCAATAAAAACCCACTTTCACCTTTCCTGAGTCTTTACTTCACTCATCCCTGGGTGTTCAGGGAGGAGTGTATGCATATATATGTATGTATGTATGTATGTATGTATGTATGTATGTATATGTATGTGTGTTAGGTGATATATATGTAGAATACATAAATGCCTATCAATACATTATATATGGCTGTCAATACATTACAATGGCTGTCTTCACACTGGAGAGGCTAAGAATACAGTCACTGCTCAATTTAAAAAGCTGGGATGTCTCAGCAGTCCTAATCTGGTGCTGAAGGCCTAGAGGCTTTCTGGAGAGCCACTGGTCTTCGGTCTATGTTGTAAGGCTGAAGACTCTGGGTTATGATGTCGGTGAGGTAGCAGCAGCAGTGGTAACAACAGAGTAGATGGACTCACAAGCAAGATGTGAAAGCATGCAGCTAATCTAATCAAGAAAATCCTTCCCGGGCAAGCCCAGAGGCTAATCTAACCTAGATAGTCCCTCACAGGTGTGCCCAGAGGCAAGTCTCTTAGTTTATTCCTGATCTAGTCAGGTTGGAAACCAAGATCAGCCATCAAGTTCTGTACTACAGTGTGGACAACATATTTTTCAAAAGATCTCATGAAGATATGAGTATCTTACTCAAGGGTTGAGGCAGCAAAGGGGGCAGACATGGTGTGGTGAAGAAATGCCTTTCATGTTGTCACACTGGATACATACAGGCTCTAGGGAACAGTCAGTAGTTTTAGCAAAAGTCACCTTTGGGTTCTTCTTTTTATTATGGTTTATTTTATTTTTAATTATGTATATATGTGTGTCTATATGTGGGTTTGTGCATGTGAGGGTATGTGTCTACAAAGGCCATAAGAGGGTGTCAGGTCCTCTGAAGCTGGAATTGCAAGGTTGTGAGCCACCCAACTTGGGTGCTGGGAAACAAACTTGGGTCCTCTGGAAGAGCACTGCATGCCCCTAACCACTGAGCAATCTCTCCAGTTGGCAGTGGAATGGAAGGACCCTCAAGGTGCTCGGCATCAAGGGCAGGGGCAGAGCGCACAGGCAGATGTTGGCCTGCATCAACCTTCCACGGTGTCTCTTAGCCACTAAGTAGAGGGAACACTAACCAAGAACAGCCAACCTGTGTCTGCACTGCCTTGCTAATCCCAGGATTTACTGTGATGTCACCAGGCCCAGCTCTGCCATGTATTTATGATGTCTGCCTGGGGCAGGTATAGCTGCCACTGTATCAGCGTGGGCAGGAGGTCAAGTTGGGCAACACTGGACTGGAATGACAGCAAGATGCTCCCAATTCTAATTGTGCTATTCACGGCATCCCAGGGACATGCCAAGGACCACACAGGTCAGTGTCAGGTCATCCCAGAGCAGAAGGTGGAACAAGACCTGCCTTGACTCAGAACCCCTAAGGGCACTGAGTTATAACTGCTGGTTCAGGAAATAAGGGCTTGTAACAGATGAACAAAGTCAGATGCACTGGGCTGGGCAAAGATGTAGTGAACTCCAAGATCTGAGCCCAGGGAAGCACAGCAGACTGGGGGAAAGGTCAACAATGGCTCTGCATCTCCTGGTTCCACCCCTTTTGTGCAAACGAAGATCTTTCTAGGCCCAAGACCCAAAGGGAGGCAGCAGGAGGAAGTGGACTAGAAGAGAGCCATATTTAACTCAGAGAACATTTGTTAGGTTATGTTATTGCAAGGAGTCAATTTATGCAGCAATTGTTCTGCAGTCCCTTTTCCCAGAACCCACACAGGAAAAGTTCTGTGGCTAGACCTGATTTGGAAATGTCCTGTTAGATACTCTTTCTATAGAACCACAGTAGCTGTCTACATTGGATTCTGGCATGTCTCACAGTTCACAGAGTGGCTTGGTTGTGTTGGATCTGCTGTTTCTGTGAGTGTGTGCATATGTGTGTTCTTATCTCAAAGTCACAGCTTCTTTGTAATGCCATCGAACAACAGCATAGCTGGTCAATCGTTACCTCTTCCTACCACTGTCCCCCTTTAAAAAGAGACTATGTGTTTATGATTTCTGTGTCAGGCAGGTCCCTTTTCATTGGTTTGCATTTTCCTGGGCTCTCCATTTTCAGGATTCTTTCTTGGAATGTGTGTTGGCTGGAGAGTGGTGGCCACTGAGACCTTGTCTATCCAGTACATCTTCTGTATTCTCCCCAGCAGATCCCACCTGACCCATATATGCCTTCTTTAGATCCTTATAACCTAGATCCCTTAATCTGTGGCCTCTCAGTCCACCCTTCATTACCTGCTCTACAAAAATGGAGATGAACTGTGTAACAGTTTTTCTTTGCAGAAAGCTTAAGCTTTCTCAGTAGAAGGTACCAGAAGGATGTTACAGAGGGGAGGAATATCTCTTCCTGGTTCCCTCTGGCTTGCTTCTATTTGCTGCTTCTTGCTTCTATGACCAGCAGTGGGGGGATTCGGGGGGCAACTGATGGTGCTCAGCTCCATGCACACACCCCTGGGTAAGCTCCTTGTTCCTGCTAGGTAACCCCTGCTAGATAAATAAACCAGAGTGGCTCCGCAGTTGCTTATTTCTCACAGTAGGCTTACCCCTTAGCCCCAAAGCCAACACATGCCGACGTCAATTTTTACATATCCAACTGTTTTAAGCACAGTCCAAATAAACGGTTGTAGCCATCTATAGTCTTCCTGCCTTGCACACCTCATGAAATACCACCCAGCACCTGGTAGTCATAGAGAAGATAAAAAACTACAAAAACCTCAAGCTACTCTGTCCCAGAGACTTTGGACAGTGCTATTGAGCTTTTGAGACCAGGAAGTCCCTCTCTGATCCCTCTTTCATGGGTGAATCCCTTTTCCTGCTTCCCTTCTGGCTAATTCCCTGGTTTAGCCTCTGGATGGCCTCATGCTATAAAAGGTGCCAGGATGTTGCTACCTGCACATCTGTTCAAAGCATCCTTTGAACAAAGAAAGCTTGTGTACTGGCACCTGTGGTTACACCTTTGCCTTTAATCAGCCTGGATCATGCCTCTGTCCTGAGGCCATCCAGCAACTTGTCTTCTGAATCCCCCATATTTGTTCCTTCCTCAGACTCGCTCTCATAGCCCTTCAGAGTTCTTAGAGACCTCGAGCCTCTCTAGTTACTCCAAGGTATGGTTCTCGAATCTTCCTAGTGAGTTTTTCCTGTTCACCTTATCCCTGGGTCTATCTTCTGAATGGAGCGTGTGTATCTTTGGTATGTCTCCATTGCCACCCCAGTCTGTAGAACTCCCTGGGGAGCTCAGTCCTGCCTCTCTCTGTGTCACAGCTCATTTTGGATGTGAGGAATAGACGCTAAAGGAGATGTGGTTCGATGGTGTTTTCCGAGATCTGTCCCAAGGGCGTTTGGCTTCCCTCATCTGCATTCCTGATCTTAGCTGGGAGAGTTCTGGGAATGCAGAGAAAGCATTCTTTGGGCCCTTCATATATTAAGGCTCTTCCTCTTCTCCTTCAGAATCAGTTCAGTGTGGCCGCAGACCTGCCTTTCCAAACTCATTTTGGTTGCCGTTCCGTGAGCGGTTTGAGGTCCAGAGTGGTGAATTTCCGTGGGAAGTGAGTATCCAGATGTCTGGGAAACACCTGTGTGGAGGCTCCATCACCCATCAGTGGTGGGTTCTGACGGCAGCACATTGCTTCCCAAGAACCCTGTAAGTGTCTGGGTCACTGTCTTAATTTATGTCACATCTAATGCACATGTTTCTGGGCTGCTCACTTGGTTGGTTGATACCATAGACTCTGTCCCCACAGGCTTTGGACCAAGAGCCTGCTCTCTGCCTAGTCTCTCCTCTTCATCTGGCCAATCACACTCAAAGTTGACTGCTTCCTGTGGCTGTGCACCCAGGGTTGGGCAATCAGCACAGGCTTTTCTTCTGTCCACCCTCTGTACATGAAGACAATGCATTAGATTCATACATTGTGTGTGCACTGAGCACCTACTGTGTACTGTCCCCATTGCTGGGGACATAGCAGTCAGTAGGACAGCCGAATTCCCTGTCACCAAGGTGTGCACAACCTCTTCTCTCAATGGACACATTCTATTTCTATTGATTGGGGTTTTCCCTGAGTTGATGGTCCATGGGCTCAGAAATCCACTTGGCTCTGGGCCCTGACTCTGACTTCCTTGATCTCTCTAGACCCCTATAGCATATCTATTCCTCTAGATGCCCCAGCATTTAGCAGTAAACATGACTGTTTACAAATGTGTGTGCAAATGCAAAGTTCCCTCAACCACTGCCCCCGCAGAGCTTTCCCATTCATTCTTCAGATTAGAAGTGGCCGTGGTAAACGTCACTGTGGTCATGGGCGCCAAAGCATTCAACGACATGAACTTGGAAAGAAAACGAGTGAAGATCATTCTTCACAAGGATTACAAGCCATCCCACCTCAACAGCGGCCTCTGCCTAATCCTGATCACCACGCCAGTCCAATTCACTGAAGCTAAAATGCCTATCTGCCTGCCACAGAAGGAGGGCAGGTGGGACCGGTGCTGGATGGCAGAGTGGGCATCGACAGGTAGCTATGGTATGTGTCTCTCTTTGGTGCCCATACAAAGCCCACATATGGGCTGCCTTCCCCTGGGTAGTTTGATGCTTTGGATGGGGGGAGACAAGTGTTTGAATTTCAGGCAACATTCTTCACCTTCCTCATCCTCACCTTTTCTTGTCCGCAGAATTAACAGTACCATCTCTATCAACTAAGCCATGTAGATTAAATGGATGAGGTTATCCAGGTAAAGTTCCTATTAAACATCTAGGGCATGGAAGAATCTCAAAACATGACAGCAACGATCATGTTTACAGATCTTCCATTAAAATTGTTTGGATGGCTTTTCTAGGGGCTCTTTCACCCATGGCCCTTCTGCTGGTCTCATGACATCATCCACCATTCCCTGATATCGACAAGTCAGTGGTTTCCTCAGACCAGTGACCACCAGTGATCCCACTCCATTCCATGCATAGCACAGGGCTGGCCAGCCAGGGAGGATGCCTAGGAGGGACAGAGTGGGACAGAGTGGGGTCTGGGGGATGTTCTTCTGGCATTGTGGTCATTTCCTTTCAGCAGGATGACTCATCTGGATGTGTCCTCTCCCCAAGGTCTCCATTTGGCTTTCAAAGACATGGCCTACCACTGCTTAAGAGCTTTGGTGGCTCTGCATAGGGGCAAAGGGTAACTGTGGAGAGAGGGTAGGACCACAGAGAAAGCTCCTGTCAGCATCCCTGGCAGGGTCTGGGCTGCTTCTGGAGGGAGCCTGCATCTCCAAGGTAGACATTAGCGGAAGGACCACTTGTAGTTACCAAGATGATATGGAGGAGGGCCTTGCACTAGACCATTCATTCAAAGTGACTTGTGAATCCAGCTTGCCAGCCACTGCATTCCTTCAGGACTTCTGTGTGTAGCCCGGATGTGTGTGGGCTGGTCATTGTGGGTGACCAGTTCATGCTCCTGCTCAGGCTAGCTTTCTTACTTTGCCAGGCTCAACCAAAGGCTTAAACATGCACCTAAAGAAGCTCAGGGTGGTTCAGATTAGCTGGAGAGCATGCGCCAAGAGGGTGACCCAGCTCTCCAGGAACATGCTTTGTGCCTGGAAGGAACTGGGCACCAATGGCAAGTGTCAGGTACTTGGGTCCTGCCATACCCTTCCTCCCCACACCCTATACTTCCTGAGTTCCCAGCACAGAACCTGCAATTCTCCTACTCTCAGCCCATACCTCTAATTACCCCCTCATGTCCTTTTGCTGAATGGACTCACTGACTTCTCACAGACTGTGCTTGCTTTTCTCTGTCTCCAGGGAGACAGTGGGGCGCCCATGGTCTGTGGTAACTGGAGAACCAGGAGACTCTTCCAGGTTGGTGTCTTCAGCTGGGGTATGAGCTCAGGCTCCAGGGGAAGGCCTGGTATGTTTGTGTCTGTGGCTCAGTTTATTCCATGGATCCTGGAGGAGACGCAGAAGGCAGGCAGAGCCCTCACCCTCTCAGAAGTCTCAAGAAGCCCTTTGACTTGTGCTCCACAGTGCCCCACACTGCTAAGCTTGGGGTCTCAAATGCTGCTTGCTGCCATGTTTGCTGGTGGTAAACTGTTAAACTCTGAACCCCCTTTACCATCTCCCTCCTCCGTATTTTCCCATCTTCACATAAGCATCTGTAGGGCACTGGCTACAGACCCCAGGAGTTAGCCACAGACTCAGTTCCCCCAATCATAGGAATGTCAAGCTCAGTGCTGAAAGAGGTACAAACAGTGTATGGGGGATGCCAGAGGAAGATAGCACGTCAAAGAGGGTCAAGGGGAGCTTCAGGAAGTCATTGAAAATCCCTTGTGGGAAGTCACCCTGTGCTTCTTTACCCAGGAAGAAAAACAAGTTTCTACCTGAGCTGTAAGATCTGTCCTCACTCTGACAGTCTAAGTTGCTTTCTTTCTCTCTTGGAATATGATCATTCCCAGAAGTAGACCAGCTTTGCTTCTGTCAGTCCAGCACCAACCCAGACCTGCACCTCAGGGTGTACCCAACCCAGTCTGCAGAGCCTTAGTGTTCTGGGTCACTCATGAAGATCTTTGGGAGCAGGCTAGAAAGATGGCTCAGTGATTAAGAGCACTGGCTGCTCTTGCAGGGACCTGGGTTAGATTTCCAGCACCCACATGGTGGCCAACAACAGTCCATAACTCCAGTTCCAGGGGAATTCAACTCCCTCTTCTGACCTCCACTGACAGTGCATGACATGGGTGTTTTACATGCATGCAGGCAATACACTCATACACATAAAATTAAAATAATAAAATTTTTAAAAAAAGATCTTTGAGAGGTTAGGATCAGGGGTCTTTCACCAAGTTTGGAGATAAAAGCGAGGGATTGTGACTCAGGACTCAAAGACCACACCTATCCTTCCCTCTCTTAATTTATCCCAAAAGTAATTCCAGATAACAATGTAGGTCCAGAAGCATCAATGAAATTGTTTCTCTACTCACATGGAGATTGAGAAGGTCACTGTCGAGTGGCCAAATTCTCTACCCATCATGTGAGAATGGACTGAGATACCCTAAGGACAGAAGAGCAAACATGTCCTTCCACTGAGAGACAACGGAAAGGGTAGATTGTTACCCAACAGAACACAACAGGAAGAACTGGGGCTTAGAAAATCATGAGATTGTTTGAAGACCAGTGCGACATATCCAGAGACTAGTGGTGGCTACTCCTTTGGGTATTTTCCTTGGCCAAGTCTACCTGGCATTGATACAATGAGGTAACCAGTTACAAGGGTTCATAGGACAGACAGAACATATTCATTCATTTTCCCATCTATCCATCCACTCACCCATTCATTCAGATGTTCCTTAAGCATTATTGTATCAGGCACTGGAAGGCTCTAGGGATGTATAAGATATGGGAGGTTCATGACTTCAGATGTGTATGTTACCTCCAAATTTGGATATTGTATATCTTCTCACAGGATCCCCTAGTAATTACTTTCATTATATAATCATATATGTTTCCATTTCATTATATGTAAATATCATCTAATAAGGATTATGGGGGTTGGGTAGCCTAACATCTTCAGTATCCCAATGTAAACAATGACAGGAATCAAAGTTAAAGCTGTACCCTGTAACTTACAGTAAGAATTGGATTCTATACTGTGGCCAGTGCATATACATACTTTGAACTAATGATTCATGGAGCAACACATCCCTCACCGATACTGGGTAAGCAAGAGTTAGATATGGGTAACCAAGGAAAACTGCAGCTGTGACTTGGTAGCTGCATCTTCTGATGGTCACATCTCCTCTGAGGCTGATCATCCTTGAAGTTGCAGTTAGTTGTTCCTATATAAGAAACCACAGCGCCATGGCACTTTCCCAGTTGCCACACATGTGCACACATTCCTATCTCCTAGTTCTCAGATCAATTCATTCTCTGGCATCCTCACATTTGCTTAAAAAAAGGCACTTTTGGGGGCTGGAGAGATGGGTCAGCAGTTAAGAGCACTGGCTGCTCTTGCAGAGGACCCAGGTTCAATTCCCAGTACCCACATGGCGGTTGACACCTGTCCATAATTCCAGTTCCGGGGAATTTGACACCCTCTTCTGACCTCTATGGGCATTGCATGACATGGCTGCATTTACACACATGTAGGCAATACACTTGTACACATAAAATAAAAATAATAAATAAAATATTTTAAAAAAGAAAAGTTGTCTTTTACTTCTGGAGTAAAATGAACTATATAAGAAATTTTGAAAAACACCTCTTTTAGGCAATTCCTATGAATGAAAACTAAAGGCAGGATTTGTGTTCTCAAGACTTTCATTACAATATCATTTTCATTGTGGTTCCCCGGACCCCATAATGAGGAAACAAACCCTAAAAGGGAGATCTGGTCCATCACGATTTGGGAGAAGAAAGGGTCACCCTATCCCATGAATGTGCCATTCACCTCATAGTCATAAAACTTTCAGATTCACAGCACAGAACCCACTGTGCTGTTGCCCTCGCTTAGGATAGCTCATTCCAAACTCTTTGCCAAATAAATTTTTGCTTAAACTGTTTATGTCTCTTTCCTTTACGAAGACAAGAGCTGAGAGCCTCCTACCTATGCTAATTTCAGTCCAATAACTGGTATTAGGATCCAATAATGGGACATGACATAGAAATCACCATTTAGAATAACCATTGGAGCTCAGTCCTTCACTTTAGGGAAGTTGTTTTAAAGCAGGCAAATTTCTGCCAAAGAAAATAAAGCTCCAAGGCTGAGATTCCTATCTCCTGGATCTCTGATCAATTCGTCTTCTGGTATCCTTCTCACATTTGTTAAAGGAAATGAGGCATGGCTTCTGTGCTGATGTGGACTTATAAGATATTTTGAAAAATCCTATTAGGACACACCTATGAATGAAATCTAAAGTTTAACAAACACCTTTTCAAACACACAGCAAAACTGGGCATGGTGGCATACATTTTTAAGCCCAGCATTCAGGGGGCAGAGGAAGGGTGATCTCTATGAGATCAAGCAAGGCCAGCTTGGTCTACATAGCAAGTTCTAGGCCAGCTGGAGCTATATGGAGACACCCTGTCTCAAACGAAACAAAACAAACAAAAAAATGGAAAGAAAAAAGCACAGCAGACCCATATAAGGAAACGAGGGAAAATTCTGACACATAGAAAATGGTACTCTAGAGCCGGCATCCAAAATAAGCCAACCAGAGGTCTGAATCTAGAATCTTAGACTCTGATGGTCATCTTCTCTCCCCAGTTGATGGCTTTTTTTATTAAAGGTGTGTTGTAATCCTGTCACCCAAAGAAGCAACTGTGGGTCTGGTTTTTTTTTTTTTTTTTTTTTTCAATGCATTAGATCAAGATTCTTTTAGGGCCAGTTGTAGAAGCTTCTCTGGCCCTTCGATTATGCTTCAGCATTAAAAATTTAAAACCCCAAGATGTTGGGAGGTATTTCATGTCCCCTTCCTGTTTAGGTCATGGTGCTGCCACCGGCTAGATCCCTTCTTGTGGCCCCTCCTCTACCCCTGTGACTCTCCCTGGATCTAGGAAGGAGGGAGTCTCTCCTTTCGCTCCTGGCTGACTTCTTTTGTTGTGTTGGGATACAGAGTCTCCTATGTTTCTCAGTCTCCTTACACTATCCATACAGTTCACGCCAGGATTTAAAAATTCTCCACTCAAGTTTTCAGAGTGGAATTCTAGTTCCTTCTGGAGCCTGCCCTTAGTGATAGGCTCAGGCCCATATCCTTTAACCCTGGGGCCCGTCAGTTTCAGAGCCATCAACCTCCTTAATTCCACCTCAAAGGACTAGGTGGGAATTTGCAAAGTCCCAACAGGCTCAGGAGAAGGCCAGATCAGGGATGCTGAACCCTAAGACTGGATCCAGCCCTCTTGGCTGTCCTGGCAATTTTATCTCCAGAGGACCAGTGGACAGTCAACAGGTAAATTCCTTATAGAAATCCAAGTCCAGTGCTTCTGTTCCAAACTGAGTCACTAAATCTGGAGTTGGACCGCTGTGGCACAAATTCCTTATAGAAACCCAAGTCCAGTGCCCTGGCCTGTGCTTCTGTTCCAAACTGAGTCACTAAATCTGGAGTTGGACCGCTGTGGCATTGAATACAGTGATCCAACTGGTCTTAATCAAAAAGAATCAGGACAGAGCTGAAACCCGAAAGGGAAAAAAGAGGGCTGCAATCCACAGGGAGCGATGTCTGTTTCCTAATCTGTCTTCTGCCCCAAATAGCTTCTCTCCCCTCCCCCCAAGTTGTGTTGACATGTTTCCTGCCTGGGCAGAAGATGCTATCAGGACTTAAACTGGGTCATGGAGGACGCTGATGGCTGACAACAGGCCCACATGCCATGCCCTCCCTTAACCTGGATCCCAGGCTCCTGGTCTGGAGCTCAGAGCACAAACCCTACAGGACACGCTGCTCCATAGGACAAGGAGCAGGATCCTCTGTAGAGCCAGGGACTGGTCAGGGCCTGTCCCATACCTATGGACAAGAGCTTTGCTAGACCACAGGCCCCTTGTCTGGCCCTTTCTGGCCTTCCTTTCCCATGAGTAATCAAGAGGTCTGCCTGTACCTGCTTGCTGGGAAAGCCTTGAGGCTGTCTTCCAGCAGACACCCAGCGCCACAACCAGGGCCCCAGCACCACCTGAACAGCAGAGAGGCCTGCAGGAGAATGTAAATTACAGCATCAAAACCCTGACTTCTACCTGATTTCAAATCCCAGTCCACTGAGGCCGAGCAAGGTGAGTGCCACCCATATCGTCCCGCTCCAGGTCTTCAGTCACGCGTTCACTGCCCTCCAGCCCCTGCCATCCTCTCTCAAGTTCCCTGCCAGTACCACGTTCTGAGATAGCCTCCCTCCCCTCCCCTCCTCTTCTCTCCTCTCCCCTCTCTCTCTCCAAGTTTTCTAGCACTTCAAACTACCACTAGCATTGTCTGAGCAACACGGTGTATGTGTTCTGGACAAGACTTGTATCCCTCTCCAAACTCACTCTGAACTCTTAACTTACTGTGTGACTAGTTCAGGAGATGAATCCACTCAGGAAGTCAGTTAGAGTTAAATGAAGTCAGATGGGTGGGCCCCTGGTCTGTAGGATAGTGTCCTTACAAAATTACTTTCTTTTTTAAAAATATTATTTTTATTTTATGTGTACAAGTGTATTTCCTGCATGTATGTAAGTGCTAATGCCCGTAGAGATCAGAAGAGGGCATCAGATCCCCTGGAACTGGAGTGACAAATGGTTGTTAGCCACCATGTGGGTGCTGGGAACTGAACCCAAGTCTTCTTGCAAGACCAGTCAGTGCTCTTAACCACTGAGCCATCTTTCCAGCCTCAAAGAACACGTTCTTGTAAGAGTGACACTCTGTGCCCAACACACACAAACACACCTGCATATACGCACATATACATGCACATACACACACATGCGCACACAGAAATACACATGACACACACACAGGCAAATACATGCACACAAATATGTGTACACACGCATAAATGCACATATGCATGTGCACACATGCACACATATATGCACATAAACACACAACACATGCACACACATGCACATGCATAAGCCCAGGAATGAGGAAGGGTAACATGAAGACACGGGAAGCTGACTGGCCAGCAGCTAGGAAGGGAGCCTTCCTGGGGAACACTGATCCTGAATTTCCACCAACTCAGAAACTCCCACCAACTCTGTCCTCAACTCTGAGAAAATAAACTCTAGGTGCTTTATCCATCCAGCCCATGGTATGTTGTGGTGGGGGCCTGAGCAGATGAAGACAGATTTGAAAACTGATTTCTTGAAGCTGGAGAGATGGCTCAGTGGCTAAGAGCATTAGCTGCTCTTGCAGAGGACCCAGGTTCAGTTCCCAGCACCTACATGGTAGCTAACAACCCTCTGTAACTCTAGTTCCAGGGGATCTGATGCCCTCTTCTGGCCTTCATGGGCATTGCATGACACAGGTACATACATGCAGGGAATACAGTCATACACATAAAATAACAATAATAAAAAATGTTAAAACAAGGTGAGCCTTGGGATTCCAGCAAAAATGCTGCCAGCAAAGTGGGCTGTTCCTTTTTTTATCATCATGACAGAATACCCCACAGAAGCAACTGAGCAGAGAGGCTGACTTTGGTTCACAGTTCTGGAAGGTACATCATCCATCATAGTGGAGAGGCCTAGATGCTGCAGGGGCTAGAGCAGTTAAGCCTGAGCCAATGGGAGCTTGCAGCTGATCACATCATGGCAGCAGACAGGAAGTAGAGAACGGATGCTGGAACAGGCTCCTTGGTTTGGGGAAGTGACTCAGGTGCCCTCAGTAAAGAAGCTAAGAGTGCTTGCTGTGAACAGGTGAGGACCTGAGTTTGAATCCATGGCACCCACATAGAATCTAGGCATAGCTACATGTGCCTGTAACCCCAGCACTTTGGGGGCAGAAACAGGAGGATCCTGAGAGCTGGCTGGCCAGGCAGCCTAGCCAAAATAGCAAGCTTCTAGTTAGGTAAGAGATCTCATCTCAAGAGAATATGGTAGACCACGGTAGAGGAAGGCTTGATGCCCTCCTCTGTCTTCTGCAGGTGTGCACACAACTGCATACACTTGCATGCATCCAACATACATACACCACAACATACATATATCACAGCACACACACATCTCTCACCCCCCCCCACACACACAAAGCAGGCTCCGGCTATAACCTTCAGGACAGCAGGATCAATGTCTTCACATCAATGGATTTGTTTGTGGACAAAGTGCAATGGCATTTTAAAAGTCTGGTTTTTGAGGTGCCATCCCTACGGAACGAGCATACTGTTTCAAGGCTCTGTGAATTCAGAGACATGCACATGGCTATGTAACCACTCGTTTGTCACCCCAGACATTCTGCTTACCCTTCCTGAGTCCCAACCCTGGGCAATGGCCTGTGGTTTTGCCTTTCGAGAATGTCGTATGAATGGAACCCTTTGTTCATATGTCAGTACAGCTCCTCTTCGCTGTGGCGTGGCTTTGCCACAGTGCAGATGTGCTAGTTTGTTTAAGCAGCCACCTAATAATATGCATGTAGGTTGTTACCAAGGTTCAGCAGTTGTTTTTTTGTTTTTTGTTTTTTTCTTTTGGTCTTTTTGAGACAGGGTCTCCCTGTAGCCTGAGCTGTCCTGGAACTCACTAGGTAGACCAGGCTGGCCTCGAACTCACAGAGATCTGCCTGCCTCTGCCTCCCGAGTGTTGGGACTACAGGCATGGGCCACCACGCCTGGCGTGGTTTAGCAGTTTTAAAGCTACTGCAAGTGTTAGGAATTGTGTATGGACATGCATTTTCTTTCCCACCCTCCCTCCCTCTCTCTCTTCCTTCCACTTATTTTCAGAACAGAGCATTCAATTCAGAACAAGGCCAGTACTCTACCACTAAGCTACATTTTCAACGCTTCTTTTCCTATTTTGAGACAGAGTCTAAGTTACTCAGGCTGATCTTGAACTCACTTTGTAGCCCAGGATGGCCTTGAACTTGAGATACTCTTGTTTCTGCTTCCTTCCCGAGTAGCTGGGATTGCAGGCATGTGCCACGAGGACTGGCCCAATGCTGTTTTGATTAAAATGTGAATGATGGGAGATTATGTGAGGTCCAAATGAAGATCATATACATATATATATATATATATATAT